ATTGCCCCGGGAGGGCCACAACCATTCGGCTAACGGAACCGTGTGCCACGGGCGAGACTGCTTCCTGTGTATAGAGCCAGAGTGCGAGAGCCTTTCTAAAACGCTGGCGGAAGGGAAAATGTCATCTGCATATTATCATCACCTCCTGTGGGATAGACATCTGCAGCTATAGTGAGTGTTACAGCCAAGATAGACATATTCTTAAAGAAACATTCACCTCCACTTTTTTAAAATCGGTCCAGGCTATAGCGGGGTCCGTTTCCTAAAGCGTGGATATGGCCCCCTTTGGCCCTCGATCCCCACGACCTGTTGGCTCCTTGGTTTTGTGTGCGCTTGCCGCGCACAGGACCCGGGTTCGACCCCCGGCCCTGACAAGGCCTTTTGCGATTTCGTAAAAATCTCCGGGTTGGATGTTTCTTTACAAACCTTAAAGGGGCTCCGAAATCTGGTCCACGGTCCCCTGCTGTGATTCCTGGCAAATAGCCAGATGCGACCGCAACGCGACCGCGTCGCATGACCTTTTGCCTCTGTTTGGACGCGAAAACGCTAATTTTAAAAAATTTGCTACTATTTTTGGAATCTTCGCCGAATTTTGATCATTCCAGACTTTTAAATGATGCAAATTGACCAGAGAATCGCCGAGATCGAGAGATTGGGTGCCTTACAAGGCATTACGACAGGTAATCGCCGCGCACTCAAAAGGTCGTTTTCGCCCCAAAAAGAATTCGGATTTTCTCAAATAGTTAAGGTTTTTTCGCAATTAAATCACTTTTCTGGCACTTCTCGGCAGTGACCCTTGCGTTTTTTGACCAGTAGGTTCAATCCCCGCACGCACGAATTTTGACTTCTGAGCCCCTTTAATAGGTCATTGAAGGTGATCGCTCACCTGGGCTGCACTTTACTTTGCCCCCAGCCGGAAATTTTTGGCTACAACCTTTTATTTTACGTTTATATAGGCTCAAATTAAAACTTATAGTATATTTTTCGACGCTCTATCTAATGGCGTTGCAAAAATCCCGACGAAAATAGCGACAATATAGGAAACTTTGAGGCCCTTCGGCTGTGGGGGGGGAGCAAAGTGTTACCCAAACGTGTTTTTATGAAACGGCCAGTTGTGCATTTCATTATAGGACTCTCGAATCACGCGGCGTGCCATCTAACCTTCCTCAACGGCGGTAAATGTTGGATGCCGCAAAAACGGATTGGCCCACAACCGTCTGTTATGTTCGATGGAAACTCGAAAAATCACTTGAATTTTGCTTTTGATGAGGGTGCCAATAAAATATCCCTAGGAGTTTGATCCAAAGCAATGCCATGCATCGCACCACGAGCACCAGCAGCAGGCCTTTGGGGAACGCGACAAGTGAAGACATTGGGCAAATTTGCCGTGGAATGGCGAAAAGCACATAAAGACGTGCAAGTAGGACAAGCAAAAATAAGGAAAAATGGGCGCTGCGTGGTTGGCATTTTGGGGACAGCCAAGATTTGTAGAGGTTTGCGGAATGAATTCAGGAGTCAGCCAGTTATTTATATTACGCTCCCAGCGTGGCGATTTTTTTATTCTCGTGGGGATGAAGCTTAGCTTGTGCAAAAGCTTTCGGTGTTTCCAAATATCTGTGCGAAATTTGGGGGCACGCTGTTTTTCAAAGGGTATGCACGACTTAATTCGAAGAAAACCATAGAAAGTGGCTTATTTTGGGCCCTGCGGTTGCTCGGCTTGTTTAATTCTTGGGATACACTTCACTTTACCCCCCACCCAAGCTAGAAGTTTTTGGCTATAACTCTTTTATTTTACATTATTGTAGGCTCAAATTAAAACTCATGGTATTTTTCTGACGCGCCTAATCGAATCGTGTGTGTGGCAAAAACCCGACAAGCCGCTGAAATTACCGAAAATTTGAGATTTGGAGACCCTTCAGCTGTGGGGGTAACATCCTCGTTCAGACTCCTGTCGTTGAAACAGCCAATCAGGCTGTGGCGCTCCCAATCCAGGTGTAATCTTGGATGCGCTGGTCCTTGGATAAAACCAATTTCTTTATTCCGCAATTATTTTAACGTTATGTTGTGACAAACCTAGCAGTTGGCAGGGGGGATGGATGGAATGCCGGTTGTGGTGGGCCTGTCGGCAGGCCCTTGATGGGCGGGGCCTCGCCCGGCCCACGACACAAGCTTAAAACCATTGCCTATTCCGTCTTAAAAAAATCGTACGATTTTCAAGATAACAAGCATTTATTAATCGGTCACATTTGTAAGAGGTAAAAAGTAAGCCTTCAATTTTGTAATTGTTTAGGTTACATAACGAGCCAACTTGTTCTATAAGTATTTTTTAATGCGAAACTACTTGACGTAAAAATTTTTTTGATGCTTTCACGAGCTCAAATCCAATAATTTAATTCGTCGGTGGTTCAGATGGTTGTTGGATCAAGGTTTTTAAGCGCGCCGCAGGCCTCAATCCTTTGGGTATGAATGCATGTCTTCAAAAAGTTTCTGAAAAAATAGTTTCTAGTAAAAATACAAGTTTTGGTTATAGTTCAGGTTTATGGTTATTGGTTTTAGTTTATTTAGCCGCGTCAATTTCAGTCATCTTTCTTCAGGTTTTTCCCGTTCGGTTGGCAAAGCAAAAGGTGGCGGCAAAACTTTAAGTCATCGAAACATCATAAACTAATTGATTTAATCATAAACTAATTGATTTAAACAAAGCTAAATATAAATAAATTTTAGTTTAACGTTTCAGTATATTTTAGCAATTAGGTTCTCCAAAACTTACATTTTAGATGCGTCATAATTTTCCCATCGACTGCGTTGACATCATTCATTTTACCGTACGCATCTCCATCCATCTGATATGATTAGCATAAACCTACAAAAATAATATTCGTTTGATACAAAGAACCAAATTTTGTTGAAATCAAAGTGATTTTATGCTAGTGATTTACCAGATAGCTTACATTTTAGATGCTTCATATTTTCTCCATCGACTGCATTGAAATCATTAATTTTCACGTACGCAACCCATCCGTCTGATATGACTAGCAACCATGACATGACCTGCAAAAATAGTATTCGTGTAATACAAAAACCAAATTTGGTTCATATCGCACGCTCACCTCAAAATCTACAATTTTTTTCATCAGCCATTATGAAAACGGCATGTTGCTCTCAATCTAGAAGAATGTAATACATTGATTGTGAGCGCCAAACACAGACCATGCCAAATACCCAGTAGCGCCTTTTGTTTTCCATTCAAATAAATCGCATATTCTTTTCTTTTCTTTGTAGAAGAAGTATCTTTCGTCTATTTCGACGCAGTTTCTGAAACGATTAATTAAGTTGTGTCTGATTATGATTTGACTCCACGATTCCAATTTTTAAGTAACGGTTCTTAACTATCTGAAAATCCAGATCAAAGTAAACATACACTTTTAACATCACTTAGCCTAGTCAAATTATGGTCTGAATTAATTTAGCTTGCTCATTAAAGGCCCTGTATCAGAAATAGCATGAAAAGTTTTGAAAGTCTGTCATCAAAACGCAATCTTGAAAATTATATTTTATTCAGTTTTTAGAAAATTTACTATAATAATTTAGCAATGTATGTGATTTTCTAGATACCTGACATTTTGAATGGAGCATAATTTCCACATCATCCGCATGGACATCATCAACTTTACCGTACGCAGCCCAGCCGTCTGAGATGATTTGCAGTTGCTTAAAAATATCAATAGCAGAATACAGTGCGTATCAAAAAGATAGAGCCACTTGGTTTTTCACCTTTAACTTCGCGCCGTCGTATTTTCCCGCCCAGCTAAGCATACACATCTTGTAGCCCTTGAAAAGACGCATCTTTCTGTGTAGTCTAAATTTTTCTATGATCGATATTAAGCTTTTATGATGAAAACAAGCAACAGAGCCAAAAACACAAGTATCAAAAGATAGAGCCACTATTTGCATCCACTTTACATGCGCTTTGAGCTTGCAAATTACATGGTAATTCTCATGAAAATCGTTCGCCTCATTCAAATCAATAAAGGCCGCAGAAAAATTTGATTGAATAGTAGCAATAAAAAGGATAATAATTTATTAAGTGTTCGCTTCATTTGCGCGCTTAGAAATGGTTAGAGCGATAAAATTTTTCTGCGGCCTTTATTGATTTGAATGAGGCGAACGGTTTGCATGAGAATTACCATGTAATTTGCAAGCTCAAAGCGCATGTAAAGTGGATGCAAATCATGGCTCTATCTTTTGATACTTGTGTTTTTGGCTCTATTTGCTTGTTTTCATCATAAAAAGCTTAATATCGATCATAAAAAAATTCGACTACACAGAAAGATGCGTCTTTTCAAGGGCTACAAGATGTGTATGCTTAACTGGGCGGGAAAATACGACGGCGCAAAGTTAAAGGTGAAAAACCAAGTGGCTCTATCTTTTTGATACGCACTGTATAGTAGCAATCAATTTGCATAAATCGCAAACCAACCTTGTACTCATCTTTTCAGCAATGATGAAGATTGGCATACTGCTCTCTATCTAAAAAGAAATTGTCTGAAACGTAAAATACTGACCATTCCGAAGACCCAGTAGGGCCTCGTTTTCCATTCAATAAAGATCAGTATTTTTTGCGTTGCCGACAGAAGCTTGAATTTCGTCTATTTCGGAAGCGGTTCTGAAACGATCAATTAATACACATCATAAAGTGGATCTAAGCTTCCAGTTTTGTAGCTTGATATTAAAATAGCCATTTTAATCTTCTAGAATCTCGAGTTTTGAAACTAACGCCTACCGTTTCAAATAGGTTCAAATATTTCAATCATAAAAATTTCCTCAGCATTCAATTTATGGATGAATTCAAAACCCGTTCGCACTGCGCTCGATCTAAAACGAAAATTGGCTCTACGTGAATCTGTTATTGCTAACCATTCCAAAAACCCAGGCAGGTTCTTCAATTTTTTCCATTTTCCGTTGGTTTTGCATTTCATGCTGGCTCGAAGAACATTGATTCATCGATCTCGACCGATCTCCTGAAGCGGTTAGATACTTCTGGTACTTTTAAGTTATGAAAAAGAGGTAATGCCGCCCTACTGCCCTCTATGAGGACATTTCCAAATATTTCAAGCCATATGAATTCATACATACATTTTCATTTTCCTTTCTCCGATTATTTGTACTTGTGGTCTTTCGAAGAAATACGATTCGTCTATTTCGACGCAGTTTCTGAAAGATCATGAAATTACGATAATTTTTGAGCTGGGACTTATTTTTAGAACACTCCAATAAAGTGAAAATTTTTGGTTAAGCGCTAAATCTAGTAAATAGCATGTTCAATCATCACCTCTTTATTTTTGCCAATTTCCAGCAAGAAGAAATCTTGAGGCAAATAGACCACGGTTTCGTCGCCTAGAGTGAAGAACCAGTTCACCCTATTATTATATCGTAGCAAGCCTGCATAGTTTGCTGGTAGGTCTGAAATGTCTGAAATAACATCTTGCTGGTAAGTACTTTAGAAAGGAAAAACATCCCTTACTGTAACCCCGTATGGACTCACCATGTAGAATTAATTTTTTTAATTTTTCTTTGAGCATGCTTCCTCTATGGTGTTTCGCTTTGTCGCTTCTCCTATTCCCATTCCGCTGTTTTCTAAAAAAGGTTGATTCTAGTTTCATGAAAAACGAACTTACTAAAACGCTAAACCCAAATAGAATCCGAGGTGGCCGTACATAGCGAAGATTTTTTAGTACCCTGTTTTTGAACATTCGTCCTCGATTGTGCTTGGCATGACAGCTTGCTGGCCTTATTCCGATTTGCCTAAAAAGAGTTAATGAAAGCTGCGGCACCAAAGCTTTAGTGTATCTTGTTAAAAACCATCTGATGAGTTAATGTTTTTCGAAACCCACCAAAGTAAATTTGCATTCTTTCCCCTTCCAGATCATCCGACCTCTGTTATGTTTGGCAATATAAAGACGCGTCAATGTTGAGCTTCTGGAAAAGGGTAAATAAAAACAGATCCGGGGTAGCTGTATTATCTTTCACAATAGTGGTTATGTGTTGTTCATGTTTTTATAACAGCTTTTTAACATCTAAAACCCACATTGCTACCTTCCTGATGAGCATTCGTCCGCGGTGATGTTTGGTTTTCAAGGACACCTAAAAAGTGCGAATTGACGAGAATATTGCACGATAAATTGCCGGGTTAATTTTTGTCGCAAAATTGTGTCAGCTGGTTCAAACCCTTCGAGAAATTTTTGTGGATTGGCAGCGTTAATCTCACCTATCTAACTTTTCAAAAATCTCCTCCTTGAGCATTCTACCGCGGTGATGTTTGGTAGATTACTTTCAACGACCATTAGTGCCATTGCTCCTAGAAATACATGTCAGAAATGATTATGATTGAAAATGTAAACGACCATATTTATTCCGCTCTTAAAATGAACTCACCATGCTAAAAAGAGCCAAGTGAACTCATGCTTTCCGGAATATATTTTCAGGAGTGTTGGTTAAACAGATATAATCAATCTGTTTTGCATTATCTGGCTGACGATTTGGCCAGCATAATCCTATGCCCTTTGTTCGAAGGCATGAACTTGGAGAAATCGCACAAGTTGAAGCGTTGCCTAAAAATTTGACTAACTAAAACAAAGGGCAACGAAAAGACGAAAGAAAAATACCGCGTAAAGCAAAGAAAAATTTTACAAAGTTATAATAACGCTATTAGTGAAACCATCCTGTAAAAGAAACGACAATTCGCCGATATGGATCGCACATTTGCGTCTACTGACCTGAGAAACCGATAGCCCTACGCGCGACAACCCCATTACACCATCTAATCGACCGGGAGGACCACGGAACTCTGGATGTTCCGTTTTTTGTTTTGACGTATCAGCCGATTTTTGTTAACGCTAAATTAAACACCTAGTTAGGAATTTCGATTTTTCGACGCCAAATTTCGAAAATAGTGCATATCTCATTCATCTTTTGATCCCGATAAAAAGTTGAGCATATAACCAGTCACACTCTTTCTTTTCGGGCTTTTCCACCACGCTCCAAATTAAATGTCCTCGAAGCTGGCAAAAAAAATACAATGAATCTTTTCAGCTTGCTCCTCAACTTGCGGCGATTTCACCAATGCTTGTGCTTTCCGAGAAAAAGCATGCGATCTTCATGAAGCTTGTCAAGAATTATGGATTCTTTAAAAAAAATGAGATTCCGAGGAAATTTTTGCAAACTTAGCAGGTACCTTTTGCTTTTGAGCTTTGCCTATCAGACTACGAGTCTTGCTTTAAAAACGAAAGATGATGCGGCATAAATTCTATCATACTAATATAAAATATTTTCAGCGAACCTTCCGCGTCCTGCAATGGGCACTGACAGATCTCTTTTAAATGGTTGGAAAGAAAAGGGTAGGCCAAAAAAGACAACCAGTGGAACATGATTTAGGAACATGGATCTATTCTACTACTACTACTGCGGAACGAGCGCCTAACCTAGTGAGAAGAAATCACATCGCGGAAAAGTTTCCAAATTTCACAAAAGAAATGGAAAACGAAAGGAAAACGAAAGAAATTGGATACACTACCAACCTTGCAAGCTAGAAATACTTGAACTTCCGAGAGCTGAAAATTCTTCTACTGGCCCTGCCACTGCCGGATAGGGTGATCGATTACGTTGCTGCAAAAATCCTGGTGAACAAATTTCTTTGAAGACCTGTGGCCGGAGTTAAAAAATCGAAATTGAATGGAGAGGAGTTTTTGGTTGTCAAAACTGGAGGATTGGCATACTTCAAAAAATTTGGAAGAATACCTGGCCGACCCACATCGCGGAATACATGTTACGGCGCGGAAAGGCTCGGCAGGAAACATCTGGACCGTAGCCGGGCCACTGATCTCAGCAAATTGACGACTTCCTTCCACTGATGCAACCATGTCGGGTCGTTGCGTTTTATGGCAGGTATGCTTTTTACGCGTAACCTTTCGATTTTTATGCACCAATCAATTATTTTCTTTCCAGGTTTCACGGTGCTGATCCATTCGCCCATCATCAAAATCAGCTGCAATCAATCGAGTGCTTTGATAAAACTTTTTCTGAATATGGACCTGCACATAATATAAAAGACAGCACAGTGGTTGATTGGGTGATGAAAAATATGGAAATTGCGTACCTTAAAGAAACTCGTAAGCCGAGATTCGAGTGGGCGGGGATCGAATCTCTTCAGAAACGAAAAGTTGAGCGCCAAAAAGTACCACACGATGGATCTCGTTGCCAAAAACGCCAAGGATAATTTTTTGAACGGACTCGAAAAGATTGGCTCAGAACGCGGCTCTTAGATCTCGTAATGCCCAAGTTAATCAATTCCTAGGCTTATTCGTGATTTCTGGGCCACGTTTTATTGATAACATGGCTAGAATAGTTAGAATTATAACGCGAATATTACGCTTTTAATTCGACACATTCTGCACGGATCGACAAGGGAGTGCCCACCACACGAAGTTCATCTGCAAGTTTGCATGAGCGGATGCGAATTCGTGAGCCACTTTGCCTATCAAATGCGGCTGTTCCAAACCGCCTCAAATTGGAGGGGTGGACGTGGGGTGATAAGGCTGCCCGACCGCAGAAGAGGCACGCATTCGGGCGAGCCTGAAAGACTTAAAACAAGCATTTATCGCATTGATCGGGCTTCCAGCCAATATTTTTTGCGCTTATGCTTGGATTTTTTGGAAAGACTTCAAGGCGACCGCCCGAGGATGAGCAGAATGAGATAGGTAGGGTGTGGTTGGTTTGCAAAATCAAAAAGCTCGTTCTCTAAAAAATGTGTTCCGAATAGAGGGCTGGACGGGAAACTATTCCGAATACACATATATGCCGAAAATCAGAAGCTCGAAAATCAAATTGTCGAAAATATATCCTATTTTGGCCTTCCGAAAGTTAGGAAACTGCCGGACAACGGGCCCCATGGCCTTCCAAAATTTGGTAATCTGCTTCGATTTTGGGTTCCGAGATTCTAATTTTCGAGATTTTTAGTTTTAGTCTGTTTTCGACATTCTTATTTTTCCAGATTTTCCAAATTCTGATAGAAAATTGGGCTCGAGTGGCCTTTTTCCGCGCTTTTTCCCGGTTTTATGGTTCGAGTAGCATCCGTTAAGATACACGCCTCGACTTTTCTCTCGACAAGCAGTTAATTAAGCGCGCAAGTTTTTTTGGTATCACACAAAAGGAACCTGATAGATTTCAGACGTCCAAGCTCTTTACGATTCGCCCCATGATCACTGCACGGCTTTCTTACGGTTCCGGCGCGGAGATCGGCTACGCATCGATGGCGATAGGTATACGATGTTAAGTCCGCCGACCAATCGCTTTAGATCGAGAAGCCTGTGGCGCGGCGTTCATGCACGGAACAACGCTAAAGGGCTTGTCCGAAAAGAACTGGTCGCGCCACTGCAGAACGCTGCTGAACAGCCGTAAGTTTTTGCATTTCGCGAATTTTGCCTATGCAGTTTTTTAGCGTTTCTCGCTAGCACGGTTGCTCATCCAATTTTTCAGATGGTTTTACACGGGTATCAACCGCGACTCGGCCTTGCACCTACTGGTACGTTGAGTGCAAACGACAACAAGGGTTTCAGATCGGCAATCCCGCGGCTAAAGACTTGTTTCTCGTGCGGACAAGTCCGGAAGATGGACTGGTTTTAGAACTGAAGTTAGTTTCTTAAACGGTTTATGCCTGTTTTCTTTGCAGAACCAATGCTCAAACCGTGAAAAGCTTTCCAATCTCGGACGTTGATGACGAGCTGTATATCGACGACAGCGAGCGGTTCAAAAATCTGCACGCACTGGTACAGCATTATTTAAAAGGTATATTTGAATGTGACTTGCGTGTTTCAATATGAGTAACAAAGAGCGAGATTTTTCAGCTGTTTGTCTTTCCTTAACGAAACATCACTCGTCATTTTAGGAAATGCGCTTTTCGAACACCACCCAACGAAGTATCCAAAGCGCAGCCATTACGCAATCGAAGGCAAGAGGCTGGTGTATCGCAAAGACAGCGACATGCTTTACAGCCCGGATATCTGGGAAATCGAGCGTCGCCAAATCATCTTCCATCGCAAGCTGGGCCAGGGATACTTTGGCAGCGTAGCTACGCGTTGGAAGTCATCTGAAATCTTTAGGTGCACCTAGCGAGGTGGTGCAACCTGACGGTGGCAGTGAAGATTTTGCATAGCAAGTGGGGGATGGGTGAAGACGGTGCCTGGGCAGCGTTTGACAGGTGGATGAAGTAGCGTGTACAGGGGCGTACACGAACCCGATTTTTGGGGGGCAACTCGAGCTTTGTCGACCCCCCCTCGGTCACCACTTCCAAAACATTCAAAAATCGCAGCTATAACAGCGCCGCAGGCCGCAGAAAATAAGAAAAAAGCGTTAGAAACGCTCAAATGTAAAAACATCACAGAAAGCGCCGCAGGGAAAATTTATACGGACAGTTGACACACTAATGAAAAACAGCGCCGCCGGCAAAAAAATTTTGGAAAAATAGGCTTCATAGAAGTAAAAACCGTCTTAAAAACAGTAATCACAGCGCCGCAGGCAGAAAATTTTGTTGAAAAACATAAGGGTCCCCTTATGAACTTTTGGCCTCGGCCGATTTTGGGGCAACTGCCTGCTTTCCCCGTACGCCCCTGAGCGTGTACGAGGGGGCAACGAGGGTATCTCACCCGTTTGTCCTGAAAGGCATAGTTTTCGAAGTTACCCGGATCCATTTTTTAGGGAATTTTCCGAATTAAATGTACTCGACCACCCCAATGTACTCAGATTGTTTGGGGTAATTTTCAAAAAAAAAAGGGTTACAAGTTTTTCCGTTTAGGTGTGCACCGGAGAAACGCCATTTTACATCGTGACCGAATACGTGGCTGGTGGCTCACTTTTGGAGTGCCTTACTGGGAAGAATCCGCAGATTCCAAGCGACCTAATAGTTGAACAGGCCGTCAGCGTGCTGTTTCAGGTAACTTAGCCTGTTTGTAAAGTTAGTGGAACGCAAATTTTAAAATGTAGGTAGCTCTCGGTATGGAATACTTACAGTCAACCGGTAAGATCCATCGAGACTTGGCGGCGCGAAATATTTTGTTGGATCGGAAGTCGGGTGACAGAATTAGCGCCAAGGTAAGTAAAACTTAAGCAATTTTAGGGGCATTCAGGTGGCCGATCTCGGCCTAGCGAGAAATCTACCTGAAAAATATTACTACAGTGGAGAATTTCCGGTTTGCTGGAGCCCGCCAGAGGTAAAAATCAAATTTTAGGGCTTTTTGAGGCTAGGAAAAAGTCAATGATCGCAAAACAAATTCGCGTTTAGGTGCTGCTCTCCCATAAGTTCAGCAAGTTCTCAGACAGCTGGACGTTTGGGGTGGTTGTTTTCGAATTGTACTCCCGGGGCGAGCAGCCGTACCACAAGGAATTTGGGAAAGGTTTCGCTTAAGGGTAAAATGTTTCCAAACCATTTTTTTAGTCCCTGGCGCCGTGGCGCTTTCACATTTTCTGGCAAAGGGTCAGAGGCTGGCAAAGCCAGATCTTTGTTTAGATACGTTATGGGAGCAGGTAACTAATAAAAGCTAAACGGATGTCGTTCTATTTAGGTGGCGTCTCCTTGCTTCGAAGAGAACTGGAACGAACGTCCGACCTTTACGGAAATCCTCGAGAGATTGAAGGTAGGGGAGGTTGCTTCCGATCCCAAAAGAATTAGGCTTGGCTGGGAGATATCTCTGCGCATCAAGGCCTCTTTGATCCTGACCTGCCGTAAGTTTCTTTTTGAAGTCACTGCAGTCACATCCAGTCCAGGATACTGGGAGATAAACCATGAAGAAGTGGTGCTGGGCACGAAGGTGCATACTTCACCATTTTCGACGGCAAGTCGTTCTTTGTAATCTGAAATTTCAACATCGCCGTTCAAAATGCCGACCGCAAAAATGCCGACAGGCCAAAATCGCGAGCGCGCAAATGTCGACAGGTCAAGATCGCGGCATATTCTTGGCGCTAGTTAAGATGACAACTCCTTAGAAACAGCTAGTTCGCACGCGAGATTTTGGCTGTCGGGATTTGGGCCGCCGCGACTTTGGTTGTCGGGATTTCGACGTGGCCTTGAAAATTTACCGAAAACTGGTTTTTGGCTATCAAAATTCGCAAACGTGACTTTCTTGGAGAGTAGCTTTATCCAGCTTCTGCACAAAATATGTAAACCTTTGCATAATACATTAATCCATACTTTTAGCTCCAACCCGGTATGTGGGATCGCCTCCCGATCATACTCAAGATTTCCAACAATGGCTTCGCAGAGCATGGCGCGGACCAGAGGTAAGCTTTAGGTCATGTTCGGGAACCTCTGTCAGGGAAATTGCGATGCTCAAGCAACTGCGGCACCCAAATATTGTGGCTTTACTAGGGGTAAGTCAGATTGCAATCAGGCCTTCAAATTACGGCGTTCAGGCGGATGAGAGCCAATGCCCTGCCTGGATTTACATGGAATATTTCCCCTGGGGGTACCTGACGCAATACGTGGCCACGAAGCTGCGAGACAAAGATGCAACGTGGAAGGCTAGCATGATGAACAACTTTATCTGCCAGGTAAAAATAATGTTTATTAGCGGAGGCTTGGTGTTCGCTGCTTGACCACGCTTTCGTTGGGTCTTGAATTACCAGGGGCCATGAACCTGCTTACAAACCTTGTCCTGCGATTTCCTTTTTTGATTCCAGATAGCAAAAGGGATGGAATATATTCAAATGGTGAAAAGAAAAATTCACCTCAACCTCGCGTGTCACAACATCATGGTACACGAGTCAACACGGGGACCGTCGGTCAAGGTGGGATATTCCCGCTGCCATGAATTCACGTTCTTAGATCGCGTCCTTCCATTTTGCGTTGGATATGGCGGAACTGCAAAACCAAGCGTCCCTCCCGTACACGATGGAAAAGGTCCATTCATTTGGATTGGCCACCCTTTGGACGCCTCCCGAGGTAACAGAAAGTGCAAAACCGAGGCGTGATAATGGGCAAGGCAAGACTTGGGAAATTCCCGTTTTTTAAACGTGCTAAGAAGTCTGGTCAACCCCCTTAAGCGTTGATTCCTGGCAGAAAGCCAGGGCGCGGCCGCGCCGTCAGCTCTGTTAGGCAGTGAAAACGCGCAAATTTTCAAACTTTGAGGCCAGTTCTGAAATCCTCACATGATTTTGAGCATTCTAGTAATTTTGCTAATTAAAATTGGCCTGGCTAGCAGGTTGAATTCCTCCGTTTTTCGTTCCATTCAGCTATTTTAAAAGTGTTAATTTTTACCAGGCCATCAGATACAAACAAATCACCGAAAACTTGACGTCTGGTCGTTCGGGGTCGTCGTGATTGAGATGTTTTCTGAAGAGCGCCTATACAAACGTGAATTTGCCGAGCAACGGGAGTTGGCGAGATATCCCCGTAGGAGCTTATTTCAAGCAATGCTATCATATTATTCCAGGAACTAAAGCGTTGGCCACAAAATTCTAGAATACCTTGAATCGGGGCAACGATTAAAGAGACCGGCCAATTGCCCGGCGCAAATCTATGATGAGGTATCTTAAATTTTTCGCTAAAAATTTTAACCGTTGGAATCAGGTGGTAATGCCGTGCTTCAAATACCAGTGGAGGGAACGGCCGAATTTTACAAATATTGTGCATATCTTAAAGGTTGGTTAGATACGCATTTTTTTTGCTTCTGTGGCGGATGAAAAGCCCCCTTTTGCAGAGTATTTTCAGAGAATCCGATTCCTCAACGAATGATGGCGGGTATGCAATGTCATTGACGGCAAATCCGATGATAAAGGCGCTTGCGTCTGTATGTCAATAATAAAAAGTTACCGTGAAACAGAGCAATTTCTAAAAGTTAAGTTTTGTACACATTAAAAACCATATCAACAGCTAATCACCAGGCTCTGATACAACCCAGCAAACTTCAGCCCGACCTTTCAGATCGGAAAACCCAATCTCAGATTTTGATTACACCGGATGGAATTTGAATTCAATAGAGCAAATCATGATTCCATTTTCAGCTGTCATTTTGGTGACAGCTTGGAAAACGCCCCATCAAAACACAAACGCAAAATAGGTTTTGGCGCGAGACAGAGAGAGAAGGCCAAATTTACCATTTTTTAAACTGGGTCTAATTGAAAAAAAACATCGTACTTTGCTTTCGAAGATTATATCCTCGAAAGCTTGCCGAAAAAATGCCGAAAATGCAAAAATACTGAAAAATTCCGAAATTTCCCTGGAAGCTGCAGGATGGCTTTTAGAAAAACTGATTAGAAAATTTTCCTTTCGAAAATATGACTCAACTTTAAGATGACTTTAATATTGTAATCGCTCATCTTCCAAAATGCGCTATGAACTGGATTCTAGTTTTCTGTCCCGGGCGCAAACACGAAGCAAAGGATCAAATCCAATAGGGCGCGGGACTGGAAATTGCCGTCTAACCAACAAGCGTGAAACGGTTCCTAAACGGTTCCTTTAGAAACCGTCGAGATGATGGTGTTTGCAAATCGGTTCTGGGGCATTGACCACGTAATGGGATACCCCGATATTCACGCGAGATGCCAAAAAAATGGGTTCTGATTCTGGGTATAAAAGAGGGGGGTTCGGCGGTGGGAATCATCAACTGTGGAAGATGTTCTCTTCAACAACTGTCGTCTTGGTGAGCGCTTCGGATTCTCAGTCCAGACCAAGCAGAATCAAGCTTCGGCCTGACTTTGCTGACCCTGAGCTCAAGCCTGCGCTTAATCAAGCTTGGCCCTGACTTCTGCTTAATCCTAAGCCTAAGCCTAAGCCTAAGCCTAGGTCTAAGCCTCTTCCAAAGAATTCCAAGCCTAAGGTTCAGCCTAACATCTAACTCGAAATCGGCTCAAAATTGGCGGAAAAATCAAACAAAATACGGGGAGCCTAAGCCTTTACCGAAGCCTACGCCCAAGCCTAAGCCAAACATTTTAAAATAGTCAGACTTCTGACGAACATATTTTAGGCTGCCCTCCTCGGCGTCGTCAGCGCCAACTACGCCGTCTATAACATCAACAAGTGGGCCAGTAAGTCTGCTCTTTGATACTCAACTATTTATTGAACCATGAGATTAGCGTATTTTTGTTATTATTAGTAACCCGAGCACGATCTCAAATTCCAGCCGAGGCCTGCGGAGCGCGCAAAAATGTGCGGCGCACCGACATCCGCGCCGTCTTCGACTCTACCGGCGCCAACACGTTAGTTTTGTAGCTGGCTAAGCTTCAGCGGCTTCGCTAGACTTTTTTGCGTAAAAAAACTTGTTTAGCGTGAAATTCTACGGCCTGAACAACGCGCCGAAGCTTGCTGACGCCATCGCCGACGACGCCAACATCCCGCTCCACGCAACGCTGACCAGCATGTCGAAGAAAGTGTCTGTTAAGAGCTACCTCAAGGTATCTAAGAATCCCGGCTTGTCTAGCTCTCTTTATCTCTCTCACTCTCTCTCTCTGTCTCTCTCTGTCGCTGTCTCTCTCACTGGCTCTATCTCTCTCTTTCTCTCTTTCTCTCGTTCTCCCTCTGTCTCTCTCGAACTCGTTTTCCAGGGCAAGGCCACCGCCACCAAGTCGATCACCGCCAACGGCTTCCCGTACAGCAAGGGAGACGATGCCGCCATTATGACCCGGTAATCCTGGGAATTTAATGTCAAAAACTGTTCCATTGCAGCTTCATCGCCAACAGCTGGAAGAGCTCAAACGGTCTGATCCTCCAGATGAGCCAGTACATCAGCAACGGAGCTACTGTAAGAATTCTAGCCTGAAAATTATCAAGCTCCAAATCTCTAGCTTACTTATACCTCCGTTTCTAGCTCCTCTACGACTACGAGCTTGCCCCGAACGCCGTCCAGATGGTGCCGATGTACCTGGCCGTCGATGGTGACTTCACGGGAGACGTGACCTTCTACCAGGCTATTCTGTAGGTGGTAGTAGAGCAAAAAACTGGATGACTACGATACGTAAAACATTTTTTCCCAGGTGCAACGACGGAACCACCTGGACCACCAAGGAAGACGCCCCCAAGACCACGGCCAAGTCGACCGTCCCCACCTCCTCAGCCACCACCGCCACCACCCCCACCACCGCGGCCGCCTAGGCAATGCCAGTTGTGTTTCTCGTTGTTCGCGATATGCGCCAATAAATTTTGCAATGAAGTTGTTGTGTCGCAAAAGACTTTTGCATTCCGATTCTGCTTCACAATTACACGCGAATCAACTATGTTTTTTGATAATCGGAAGGACGCCTCTAATAGTTAAATTAGCTACTAGGGAAGGGTAATAAATTTTGAAAAAAAGCATCAGCAGGTCAAAAACAATGAATGCATGAGCTAGTTGCATGCCAAATTTAGGCACGAAGCCGCGCATTACAATGCCCGCCTCAACAAAAATTCGAAATTACAGTTCGAAAAGCGGGGCACCGTCAACGATAAAATAGATTTTACTCTTTTCCTTAAAAATTATTCGGAATATAAGGTTGCGACTGATGCGAAGGCACGACAAACCAAGATCTAAAAAAGAACATTGGAGATTAACACACTAATAGGTTATAAAATTTTAAAAATTAGTTTTCTAACTTTTGGGAAGCGCTATGCTCTTCATACATATGATGTTTTTTAAAGGCATAAAATTGTTCTGTTCGAAACCAGGACGGTTAATTTAGAGGCGATACCCGAGATCTAGAAGCATGAAAAAAGTTTTGGATCGAAATGGAGAATTTTCGATCGAAAATTGGTAAAGCGAGTGCAGCGCTTTGGCCGCGAGCTTGCATGCACTTAGGCCTTGCACATTGCGCGCAACTGACTTCGATCTTTCTATAGTGGTAGAGGCTTTATTTGAGACCGCATCAAGTCTGATCTTTCGCCACAATGCCAAACACGTAGTGCCAAATAACGGAGCCTATTATGGTTCCAATCCCCTCGGAGCGAAATACGTTTCAGACAGCGCTTTTACAAATCGCGCGTTGCTGGTTTCGACGATGGTTTCGATGGCGCCTTTTGCGGGGTTATAGAAGATAAAGAGCACAATTGCATGCCCTTGAATATTCAAAGGCTCTTCGATAATAGAATTTTCTTCACGTTTCTATAAAAGGCAGTGGGCAGTCTGGAAAAACACGAGCTCGAAAATATGTTCTCCTCCGCTCTCATTTGGGTAAGTTTTTGGGCTTGTTTGGAGGTAAGTTATTGAATCCACTGAATTAGCCAAGCGGGTTATCTCTTCCTAGAAATGCGCTAGCCTATCGCTCAACGCTTTTAACGATTGAAAAGGACCATATTTGTAAGCGGAGTCTTAGGCCGCTCTCTTCGCCGTTGTCAGCGCCAACTATGCCATCTACAACATCAATAAATGGGCCAGTAAGTACATCTATCAGCATATTAACGCTATAAGGTTTATCTCAAAACCCTCAGAAATATTCTTAAAATTCTTTTGCAGGCAAAGCTTGCGGCTCCAGAAAAAATGTTGAAAGGACCGACATTCGGGCAATCATTGACGCTCAAAGTGCCCCATTGTAAGTCTGCTAAAAAAATGCTGACGATCGAATTTGTTCTTCAAAACCTATGTTAAGCCTCAACTTCTACGGACTGAATAACAAGCAGATGCTGGAGAAGGCCATCGCCGCCAAGGCCAACATTCCGCTCGTCGCGACACTGAGGAACAACACGAAGACCGTTAGGGTTAAGAGTTACTTAAAGGTTTGTCAGAAACTTTTTACAATATCTAATCTTCTTATGATGCCGCGGGTCCTATATTTTTTGCTCGGCAAATATACCGAAATTGGAGAGTAACAGCGCATGCACAAACCGGGTTTTTATTAAAATTCTATTGTTTCAATCCGGTTTTGATAGGTTTTGCCTGCGTGGAAACCTGGGCTAAAATTCTGATTAGGGAAAACCTACGGATGTTGCGACGTTCCTGGCCAACACCAAGCCGTACTCAGCAGTTAGAGGTCAAAAGATCGCCATTATGACACGATAAGTACCTTGAAAACCAAGAAAATCAAGATCAAATAAAAAATTCATACACCATCATTCTTCGGAGTAGATTTGGAAAAGCAAAAAAAATCGGCATACTATCAAAAAAATTTGGAAACCGCACTTTTTAGCTTCCAAGCCAATACCTGGAAAAGCAAGAAGGGCACGATTTTGCAGATGAGTCAATACCTCAATGGCGAAACGGTTTATTTCATTATTTTATCAAAATAAAAAATTTATTCTAGCTCCTCTACAGCTCCGCACTGGCCCCGGGAGCCGTTAAAATGGTTCCAATGTGGCTGGTCATTGAGGGCGGCTTCACGGGGAGCGTCAAATTCTTCCAAAATATTTTGTAAGCGATACCTTTGCTTTAAAAATCTATAAAATATATTTACATACTTACGTTACTAGGTGCAAAAATGGAAAGAAGTGGTCGACGAAGGAAGATGGGCCCACCACCACGACCGCCAGTACCACCACCAACATCACCCCGACTACGGCTTCAATCTAAAACCGATGGATTGAAGCATCCATTCACTACCAAAAAATCTATTTTAACACCGTTTTTTTCTGGCGATTTACAGCCTCTAACTTTGTTTCACTGATGTTACGACATAGAACACTTTTCCAGCCATAGATCAAGCTGCCTTTTCAATAAATGTCTACCCGCCGGCCGGGCCCATTCCAGCCTTTATGCATGCCAAAACGATGATGCACACTGTCATCCAAAACTTCAATAGATTTTCAAGAAATCCGTGGGCGTCCAATAGTGAAAAATTCGCCCACTATAGAAATTGGGATTCCGAATGGGTCTGGCGGGGTGTCTGATGACATTAATGAAAAGGAACCCGTGACCCAAAAGAATTTTTTAAATTTCTTTTGAACTCCAAGGGGACTCGAAGTTCGGGCTGAAATGGAAAAGGAGGGCTCTCGTTGTTATAAAAGCCCGAGGGACACGGCAAATGTCATCTGCACCGAGATATGTTCTTCAAAGTGGTGATCTGGGTATGTTTTTTTTAAATTTAGTTCTCTTGGAAGGGTTGTTTCCTAGAACTAAGACTGTCATTGTATCACTAGGCTAGAAAAAACAAGGCTTAAAAAGTCCATTTTTCACAATCTTTGATACTACAGGCTGCGCTTCTCGGCGTCCTGAGCGCGGCGTTTGCCGTCTACAACATTGACAGGTGGTCCAGTAAGTTTTCTAAGGCATTAAGAAATGCGCTTTGTTTGGTTGTTTTTTCTGGAATTTTATTGAAGCTTGCTGGGTTTTAGAATTTGCGTGTGGTGCCCGAAAGGATGTGCAGCGCACCGACATCAAGGCCGTGTTTGACTCCACGGGAGCGTCGACGTAGGCGCTGTGTTGATTTGCGTTGTAAAAAATCCTTATTTTAAGCCTGAAGTTCTACGGGCTGAACAACGCGGACAATCTCGACGACGCGATCGCGGACAATGGCAACATTCCGCTTGTGTCCACGTTGACGAGCGGCGCCAAGTCTGTTTCCGTGAGGAGCTACCTAAAGGTACGTATACTACGTTATGGCGCTTGCATTTAAAGGTTGTTGTATATAATGGAACTGATTTCAGGGCAAGGCTACTCCCACCAAAAAATTCAACACCCCGTTGGCGTATACCAAGGGCGAGCAAGCGACCATAATGACCCGGTAAGTTTGTTGCTTACTCGAGGCGGCATTAATGCCGCGTTTTCAGTTTTCAAGCAAACACCTGGAAGAACAAGAAAGCCGGCCTGATCATGCAAATGTACCAATTTGTTAATGGCTCCACGGTGCGTCTTTGTGGGAAATATCATTTTGACAGCAACTTGCCAGCTATTTTCCTTCTTTTTCAGCAACTCTACGACTACGAGCTTGCCCCCAAAGCTGTCGCGATGGTGCCAAATTACCTGCGCATCGAGGGTGATTTCAAGGGCAGTGTGGAGTTCTTCCAAGTCATCTTGTGAGTGTAACTTTCAGGGTAGTAAACGGATTTTTTGGACCCAAAATGACCGATTTTTCGACTGTTTCAACGATTTTTTAGCTTTTTTGTTTTGAAAGATTTTCTAGTTTAAATATAGTTAAAATTTAATAAATACAAGATAACAAGTAAAAGCCAAAACTATATATAAACTTTAGCTAGTAAAAGCATTTGTATTTGTTTGGCTTTAGGTGCAAGAATGGCGACAAATGGTCGACAAAGAAGGACGGGCCCACCACCACTACGACCACAACCACAACCACTACCACCACGACCACCACCACTGCCACCACTACCACGAAGCCATCAGGGTGACTAATCAGGGCTCTTCTAAATATCATTGCAACGGCCTCCGCCACGAATAAATCATGCATTGATTTTATTGCATATACAAATACACGCTTAAAAACAGAAAAATTTACGTTTTAGCCTGGTATCATTGTATGATAGATACCTCCAGCGCCCGATAGCTTCAAAAAATGCGCTCAAACGCTGATTTTTAGCAAGATGTTTTTTCATCGTTTTAACGGGATCGCCCGATCATCAGAAAAAAAGTATATTGTTGGTACGCCGCGACTGGCCGCTCTGGCGATGTGCTACCCAGAAAACCAAGAAATTCCTTTTGCTGGCATATGAAAATGTTTTTAGCAACCGCCGTTTGCAAATTGCTTCTTGGAACAGTGTAATTGGTCCCTGCAGTCACTGGCATTTGAATTGGCGCCCGACCAAAAGGGACATAGGCCTGCGGAGGAGCGGGGTCTAGAAGTATTAGTGGTAGCAGAGAGATAGTTTATTTACTTGTATAGTTTGAGAACAAGATTAAAAAGGCAAAAAAATTAATTCGGAATCAACAATCCTGTTTTACAGAATTTTTTAGGTGCTATAGGCGACGCTTGAGGGTGATAGCTAGAAATTTCCTGGAATTAAAGTAACGTGAATACAAGAAACTTTGCCGATAATCCATTTTCAAAAAGCCTTCCAAACCTGAGCAAAGGTATGCACAAAATCCTTGATTTTCTGTTTTTCTTCGCTGTCCGGCGCTTCCATGAATTTTGTACATTATATCGAGAAATCCGCACATCATTGCCGCAAAACCGGTTTTTTTGCCTTTAGAATACATGGCTCTCAATCCTCCTCGAGTTTTTATTTTATGT